CACTTACTCTATCAGCATCCTCCAAAATAAATAACAGGTCTAGAAGGCAATGCAGTAAATGACACTAAATGAACCAGAAAGACAGATACCTCTGCAAAACTAATGTGAACCTCACATGCATTGTGCTTTCACAGACAGTTTTACAACGACAGAGTAACCACAAGTCATTAGATTTCAGTGAGAATTTGGAGATGTGAGGTGATATGAGTGACTGCATCCGTTGGTGATCATGTGAGCACTAGTGTCGCTCTCTCATTGGTAGTCTGGTCTGATCTCATTACCCTTGGCGTATAATGTTAACATGTATGTTTTTGTACATTTTGGACATATGCATATGATGTATTGACAGCATCTATAATATATGCACAGCATTAGAAACTAAATTGTTTTTATTTATTTTTATAGCTACAGTTTACTATTATTTTTGGAGCCATCCATACCCTAAACCTAACCACCATATAAAAAATAAGCTATATAAAAAATGTAACAGGCAAATATATATATATATATCATTTGGACCAATCAGACACACAATATTTCATAAGATTTAACAAATCAATTATTCATTAGATTAACAAATAATCAGACCCCTCACCCAATAAACATACTGGGTGCCAGCATGTTTGTTAATGATCCCAGGCCCCTGGTTACCATGGCAACCAGGACACCTCAGCCAGATCAGATACACTTTTACAACCTAAAAAGTATGTGGAGAGAATCTTCCTCCTACTCAGTTCTCTCTGAAACAGACACATACTGCTATAGGAAATGACTTCTTACATTAATTCATAGACACATTTACTTTGCTGCCGTACTATGGGTGCAGCAGGCGCAATGATATTACGCAGCGCCTGAAAATAGGCTAACTTCTGTCAACATAACCAATGTGACCACCTGCTTGCACAGGGATTTTCAGGTGCTGCGTAATATCATTGTGCCTGCTGCACCCATGGTACGGCAGCAAAGTTCCTTGATAATTACGCCGGAATGAGAGTATAGTTCCTAGTCATATCGGCCTAGAAAATAGCAACTTTTCATTTTCCGTCGGTCTTAGTACCCGATGTAACTACAGAAGAGTCAAGTTTTAAATAGGAAAAATATCGAAACTCTTTGGTCATTTTTAATCGAGATGCTAACGGTCTAATCAGATTCAATGATCTATGCTAAGCTACAGCTAAAAGTGCTACCGCCAGACCCGGAGATCGGCTGAATGGATTCGAAAACGGTAAAACTCAACTGTTTAACTCTAGGGGAGTTGGAAAATGAGCCTATTTTCAAAAATAGTGGAGTGTTCCTTTAAGTCAGTATTCTATGAACTTAAGAGGATGCATGTAATGCATTTGTAAGCATGTATGTAAGGTGATTCATATAACTGAAGTTTTAGATGCTGTTCTTGATCAAAACTTTACATATAAATCCCTGTGATCACTAGTGAAATCGTGCTGGAGGGTGGAATTATGTCATTGTTTGTATAAAGTTAAACTCTACTCCCCTTTGTCCCACTGCCAGCAGTCACTGTCATTCATATCGCCTCAAATCACCAACTGTCATCGAAAATGTATGACTGAATTTCAGTGTAGGCAGGAACACTTTGGAGGTCACCAAGTCACTGTAAAGTTGGTTGCTAGTATGTGTCCTTGCACAGTGAACCCCCTACCAGCAACCAACAGTACAACGAACACTCCTGTCATAGTCTACAAAACCTTCTGCACATGCAGAAATCTGTATGATCAGATGGGTTGTATTTTCCATTATAGCATGTCAATGACTGGAGTATTTTTGGATTTGCTCTGGTAAATTTTAGCTGACAGAAATTTGCATCACATTCGGTGTAAGTACTATTAGGGTGAATTTTTGCAGCCAGTGTTCAACGCTTTGTCGTTTCACTTTTGGTTTGAAAAAGCTGCTTGTATTTTTATTTTTTATTTTTTTGAGCAAGGGTTTTTTTCAGTTGGGGATCTTATTTTGCACAATTTGAATTGAGCAACTCTTTGGTATCCACTAAATCATGTTGGGGGTATTTAAGAAGGCACATATATTGATTATACTACACATGCTAATCTTCGTCTCACATTATGGATTCAAATGTCTTAGTTAATCAGTTCCCATTATTATGGGGTGGCTATGGGAGTGTTTTTCACAGTGCATGTTGGTGTTGTGAAGAGCTTCAGTAGTCATTTAAATGGGCTTGCATTCCCACTTATCAAGACCTTAATTTTAGGAGCACATGAAAGGGTTACTCTAATGAAAAGAGTCGTCTTCGGGGGGTGCGTTAATGAGTACTGAGGAGCTTAGCTGGCAAGTCTGACAGAGTCTTTTTAAGGGCCAAAAAAGTTCTCTTCCGTGTCCTTTTGAGTAGTCAGCAAACACTGTCACCTTTGTAAGTGGCTGCATTATTAAGTTGATCCCTGTCATGAGCCGAGATAAGAATAAAATGTTAACAATAGGTGGAGGAGATAAACTGAAAGAGAGGGGTATAGGGATGGAGGAGAGAGGGGAAATAATTGTGCTAAAAATGGGCAGCCTGGGCGCTCCAATCAGAATGTCACTACTGTCAACCTTTCTGTCTCTGGGGCACAGCGGGAACCGGGAACGTATGTGAAGAAGAAAAGGAAGCTAGTAGACACAGAGTAGGAGGGAGAAACTGATGTCTATCCTGGTAGGCATATGAAATTCTAAAGATTAGGGGAAAAAAGAATCTCATATGAAAACTCATATTTAACATTTGAATCTGAAGGGCAAAATGCTCAGAATCAATATTCAGTCCTGTGCACAATGTCATTTTAGGACATAATATGCTACACAGTTCTGTTGATTCTGATTGGTCTATCGTATCATTCAGTGTTTTTAATGACCACTAGTCACTTTGTTATAATAAAATAATTTGAACTCAAATGGGTATGTTATATAGCCTACCATTCAAATGTTTGGGATTGGTGGGATTTTCTAAATGTGTTTTGAAAGAAGTCTCTTTAATGCTCACCAATAATGCATTTATTTGATCAAAAATACAGTTAAAAAAGTAATATTGTGAATATTATTACAATTGAATATGTTTTCTATTTTCGTGTTTTTTTTAATGTAATTTATTCCTGTGATGGCAAAGCTGAATTCTCCGGTCTTCAGTGTCACACGAAAATTCAGAAATCATTCTAATATGCTGATCTGGTTCTCAAGAAACATGTCTATTTATTATCAATGTTGAATAATGTCCCTTATGTGCATATACTGTAGAGCTAACAAACAGCGGGCCAGTGCAAAAATACAGATAAAATGCCTTTGCAATCCTAATCTGAATATGTAATTTTTATGACTGTAGAAACACGAAAGCAAACTGATGTTTTATTAAAACACCATCCCACGTCTATATACTATCTCCACCCACGTTACTCTGAAGTGGAGAGAGCAAACAGTTTGGTCAGAGAGCAACATTTGAAATTCAAAGGAATCAGGAATCAATAAGATATGTTAAAGGCATATGTTTACATGTATGCCTCTTCAAAGACATCAGAGGGTCACTTTCTGAGATAACAGTATCACATTGCCCTATAGGGAAGGTGCCGCATGCCCATGCGGATGTTAGTCAAATGTGATTTCGGGCTCCTGAAATGGCACTTCAACATGCACAGGGTCTTTGTTCTTTATTCTAAACTCTATATTGATCCCTCTCTTCTGTGTTCAGAGAATGTCTGGCACAAATCTGCAAGGGTTGGAATTTTATTTCCTACAGATCTGAATCAATACATTATTAATTATCAAGGTGGTACATGCAGTGGAGAGTGAACACCTACTAAACTATATATATATATATATATATATATATATATATATATATATTTGTGCAAATGTCAAATATATATATACATTTTAAAATCTATTTAAAAGTTATCTTAAAGTGTAAAAATATTTCACAATATTACTGTTGTTACTGTATTTTTGGTCAAATAAATGAAGCCTTGGTGAGCACAAGAGACTTTTACAAGCCCAAACTTTTGAACGGTAGTGTATAAATAAAAGGCATTATCATGCATTATCAAGTATATTAAGCTTGGATACAAAAACAAAAGTTTGTTTGAGATCATCTTAGTAATGCTATTGATAAAATATGGACAATAAACTGTGTGTAAACATGTGACCCCCTATCAGTGGAGTTATGTTAATGCAGTTGCTTGGCAATGAAAATAGTCTACGTACATACTATATACATTATAATTCAAATAATTTAATTATAATTATGCATTTTTTAACATATACAGTATTGCTATTGCCACAATTAAATCAACTTCTGTTTTTTTGTATGTTAAATTATGTGTAATTTCTTGGTCGTTGGAGCAATTAATGTTATTTTAGTTGTTCTTCATTGATATTCTGTGTAAACAATGTGAGCTCAACCAATAATAAGACCTGCTATTTAGTCTGAAAAGTTTCCTTCAAGTGCCATCGTTACAGCTATGTGTTAACTGTGCTCCCTTGAAAAGCCTCTGCTGAGTGGAAGTGAACCATGCTGTGGAGGACTCAACATGTCAAAACATGTCATCACGTAAGGCAGAGTGGCAAATTTAAGTCAGTGAGTGGAAAGTCCTCAGCACAATCTCTACTGTCAGCAAGGAAAGCATCACATTGTGGATGCAATGTGCTGAAAAGGTAACAGGTGGCTTCACATTTGCCGAGCATATCATTTATCGTCCCTCAGTGGCGGTGATGCAGAGAAGGACTATTTTCAAATCAGAGCAGAAGAAGAAAGAGTTAAGGTGAAAATTGTATGTCTTTTAGTGTCCATGCCATGTGCAGTTCAGCTGTGAATACATTTCCACATTAATGCCCAAGGAATTGTCATGTCACATATTTTCTGTCCATAAATGCGGCTGATTGGATTGGTGTTGACTGAAGTGTAGAATGACTTACAGTGTAAGCAATGTTTATTAATTTTTTTAAGTAAACATCAATAACTGCAAATGTGCTGTTGTATTAAAGATGTGTTTGATTGTGTGTCCTCGCAGGAGTGAGCTGTGTGGATGAGTATGATGAGATGGCAGCTGTGTCAGAGTGTCTCCAGTGGGCCGGGCCGATGCCGTCACGCTTCAGGAGCTGCTGGGTGCCATGCAGGGATGACTGCACCTTCAGTTCCTGGTCTAAATTCTCTGAATGCTCTGGCTGTGGAAGCCGACGTACACGCAAACGCACACTAACAGGTGAGATTCACTGAGAGAACTCAAAGGTGATTCACAAAGTTGTGAATATGTAACATTTATTATGATAGCTCCACACCTTATGTGCTAATTACAAGCTGTGTAACTCCTGGTTGATTCAAGAGGCTGTAACTTTAGCTTTATAGACTGAGTTCCCTTTTAGTCAGTCACGTTCTACGTTACGTCAGTCGTTACTGACAAATTGGGATCTCGCCCGAGAGCCCAATCACCTTCGAGTGTTAACTAAACAAGCCAATGACAGTTGGCGTGCGTGTTTCGCCACGCGCACCCCGCCCTGCAGCGCAGGTATAAAAGGAGAGAGCATGCAAACGCACATCAGCTTTTCGCTTCGGAACTGAGCCTTCTACTAGGACGAATCTCTGCGAGTGTCTGCAAAGAAACAGCCTAGCGTTGGTGTTACGGCGCGTCAGCGGGAGTTGCCATTCAGTGCTGCTCATCTTCGGCGTGCTGCAGCTGCCATTCTGCGGTCTCGCCGCAACCTCCCCTGGGTGCTTCAGCACTCTCTCTAAAAGAGCTTCACGAGCTTCCATTCTTCCCGGAAATGCATGAGGAGGTTACTAAGTCTTGGAAGGCACCTTTTTCTGCCCGAAACAGACTTGGTGCCTCCTCCGTCCTCACCACCCTCAACGGGGGAACGGCCCAAGGGTATGTAGGATATCAGACCGAATCAGACAATCTCAGATTTCATCAAAACATGGTTGAGGCACGAGGAGTCAAAACATTCCACAAGAGGCCCAAGACAACAGGATGTCATAAATCAGACCCGAGCACTAGCCAGTCTGAAGCAAGGCTAACAAACTCTTTCACAGAACAGTTTTCAACATTAAAACAAAAGGAACACACTGATCATAACAACTCAGGAAGGAGATTGTCAATTTTGGAGCAAGTAATCAAGATTAAATGGTCAAAGAGATGACCACATGACCCTCACGTGATAGTAAACGCAGTCACGAGCCCCGTAAATTGACCTCCCCCACCTCACGACAAAGAACAGACTTTCTGAAATTCCTTACAGACCTCTTAATCTCTGGTCTTCATACATTCACAGAATGGCACGGAAACTGCCTTTCCATGCACCTAAATGACACTAAAAGGACCTGAGCAACTAATCATTTCTCTCCATAATCACTCCATATCGTGTATGTAACCCACATGTGACTTATCAGGTCTTAATCATTTATTG